GCACTGTTTCATACCAAGTGCTTGTCAAATTGTATTCATTGCAAAAGCATGAATCTGGAACTTCGACTTAATGGTGAAATCTTGCACTGTAAATGGTCCTATTTAACAAATTGTTTTCTAATGATACTGAGTTTTTGAAATGTGGTCCTAGCAAACCCTTTGCATGGCTAAACTTTTAGATATAACATCACATTCTGTTCTGTCATCTGTAACAGAAAGACCTCAAGCCTGAAATATACAACATAGTTTCAATGCATTACGGCTTGAGAACAGGAAGCTCCCTTGGTTTGAAGAAAGCCTGTACCATCCCCATGGCATAGATGTATACTTTTGCATCTACTATGATTTTGTCCTTCTTCATCAGCTCTAGAGAAAACAAAACAGATGTTATTAATAAAAAAATTGTTGTGTGGCCTATATGTAGCTAAATTACTCCATTACCATCTATTTTGCCTTGAAATTCATCAAGAGGTAAGAGTATAACTTCCACAAACTCTGAAAAAGATGAGACATAAAAAAACAACAATATACAGGGAGTACACATTTTATAATAAATTAAACTTTTTGAAATCAATCAATATTTAGTTAACAATATTTCGAGTATCATCAGGTGAATTAGTGTAATGTTTTTTGGGGTTTTTTTTGCATTTGTGTAGCAAATTTTGTAGAACTAACCCTAACCTCTAACTTTGCTAACAGTAAAGAAACAAAATACTGCATACCTCCTTCACCTGCAGAAGAGCAAGAAACACAAACAAATCCGATTAGTCAATAGTTTAGTCAATTTTTAAAAGATGTGGTGACTATTTTGGTTACTAACCTAGCTGTTGAGTTGGGTGAATATTCTCAGGGTCATCTCCATTGATGTTTACCATGACTATCTGAGTGGTGCAGTTGGACAGTCCAGGGTCCAGACATGTCACTGCAATGACATCACAATCAGCATCACAAACTCATTTAGCATTATAAGGTATTGGATGTACTCTGATTGTTGATACTGATAAAGTCACACAATGGGGTTAGGAGTCAATATAACCTGTATACATATTTACACAATACTATTGCATTTGTATCAGAAATAACCAAAAGCGTGTGTAAAATGTTTTCGGTTTGGTAATTTACTCTACCATAGTATAAACTTTAAAATAATGGTGTTTTTTTTAAATATAGTTTGTATTACACCGTTGTGACTATTTGAATAATTGTGCGTGAGACAGTTTTTTAAATTTTCTATTGCATCATAATGGCTATTCTGTTCTGTGCATAGCTATATTTTCTCTTCAATTTAACAATAAAGTCTTAACTACTATAACAGATAACCAGTAATGTCTAATCAAATTGTAGACAATATACAGTTCATTTTACCTGGGGTGACTCCCACAACTTCTCCTTTGTAGCCAGTTTCTTCCTTCAGTTCCCTGAGAGCAGCCACCTCAGCAGTCTCTCCCTCATCAATTAGCCCTGTACAAAAAAAGTTAAAATTACTGGCATGTACTGATAACATATGCAGACTTCAGTGTTACACATAAAGTCAAACATTCTCTCTAGCATTTGCTTTCAATAACAAAGCCATCATTGCTCCTATTTTGTTGCCAAAATTGCCTTTTAATAATATATGGTGAAAAAGTTACATATGAATCAAAATTACCATGACAGAGCTGAGGTACCCATATTTTCTAACTAATTAGTATAGAACTGATTGTTCAATTGTCTATTGTGTTCTGGCCTCACATGATTCTCTCTAGTGATGCTCCCTAAAAAGAACATCTGCTCGAGAGGCTTATTATAGCATTGTAATATTATTTACATTTGATTTATTATTTTTTTTTTTTACTTTTTACTACAAGGACCCATTGATGCACTCCCATCTCTTTTGTCTTTAAACTTTAAGTGTTGGTAGTGGTGAAGAAGGAAAATATTAATTTAGTGCACTAGTGGATAAGTGGGTGGTACTGACCAGCAGGAAATTCCAGTGAGTATGATCCCATAGGAGGACGAAACTGCTTCACCATCACAACACAGTCTTTGTGGAGAGTCCTCTTCAACAAAGCAATGATCCCAACACCTGCATGAGAGCCAATTCAACACTGCATCATGGTGAAAGAAAATATGCTATTGTAAATACTACTAGTAAGAATCCTACCATCTGCTTGTGTGCCTAGTTGCCTAGTGGTCCGTTTCACAGTCTCCCATATTCTGTTGGATAGAACATGCTATTAAAAAGGTAAAGATTTGGTAGTGTTTATATTAGAGATATACTGTACCTAGTGTTACCAACTGGGTCAACATAAGTGGTCTTTTCCAGCTTCACCCATTTTCCCGATGCTATTACCTAAAATATCAAAAGCAAGGTAAATCATAAGGATGTAACCATATCCAACCCTTTCGATACAATATTCTCAAGATATCCATCTCACGATACAATATTTACTGCGATATTTTGAGGAGGCAAAAAATAATAATACAAAATTGTGAGTATGCAACTTTTCTCTCATCATAATCCAAACAACTAAGATTTAAAAGTGCTTATAACAGTTATTTCAGCATGTGGATTGAACTGAAACAGAGCAAAGGATCATGGTCTATGTAGTTTTCACAGTTTTCTTTTAGCTATTGCTGCACCATAACAAAGAATTTAAGCAAAGAGATAATTTGAAATACTGCGACGGCTCATGATATTATTGTGAGACTTTTGGAGATAGGATATCACGATATTTTGATTATTGTTACATCCCTAGTAAATCATGATCATGAATATACTTTATTAGACTAATTCATGTGTTTTGACCCACCTCTTCCTTGACTACATGGGGTTCAGTGGTCACCTTGGGTTGTTCTCCGTTACTCATTTTTGCAATAGAATCCCTGACGTGAAAAATAGAAAGATAAAATTAGCAAGTACTCAAAAAGACATTTTCACGAGGGGTATTTGGTTAGTTCATTTTTTAACATTAAGATGCTCGACTGGTGAGTGGAGAGCATTATTTACTAAATCAAAATTAGATTTCAAATACTTACATCATCTCAAGCTACAGATATCCGTTTAATAAAACTCACACTGGTGTTTTACGGAAGATTTTAGAAATATTTACATTTGGGAAAACAAAATTTAACTCACGTGAAAGTCCAGCGCAGTGTAAGTTGAGGCAAAGATATTAAGTGGATGCAAAGCTATCCACTCTGATCTCTGGTTTCCTCTTGGAAAAACACAAATCAAATAGTTTTCATAGTCTATTAATAGATTAATGATTAAAAACTTGTTAAGAATTAATAAAATACCGATAATATAGGCAGCTATACAGTCACAATTAACATACAATACCTGGTAAAAAATAATTATGTTTAACCATAAACGATCTTTGTAATTCTTTGGTCACACCTAGTGGTACGTTAGAAAAAATCTTCCGTGTTTTCTTGACTAAAATCATGGATCTATGCTTCTTCATAATATTAATTTATAATATTACTAGTGTTATTTAAAGCTCAGTTGCACGTGTTATTCTTTAAGAAAATACTATGTAACAAATTATTATTATTATTATTATCAGCTAATTTTCCGCGACTGTGGGGTACTATTTTCCCATCGGACACACTTCCGTAACAGGATATTGCAGCATGAAGAAGGAGCAAGTTGTCAACTGTCAATTTTCGGTCTGGTATCCATTATTTAAGAAACATACAATTAAAAGGTAAGTGCCTTTAAACGTACATATTGTGATAAAAACAATACTGCATTCACGTGGGTAAAAGACACCTGGGTGGTCTGTTAATGTAGATTAGCATCCAATGTTGTCTAGCATCACTGGCACTCAAACCATGAATGAACCAGTTGATTTTTCATCTTGACCTCAGTAGTCATTTATGCCTAAACGTTGATTTTGGTATTACTTGTTAATAAACTTTATTTATTTTAATCTTTTGTCTCTCAACGTGCAGTCTGATCCTCCCACTGCCTCAAAATGTAATAGATTACTTACTAGACGATGGTACATTGGTAGTGTCTGGAAGGTAAGAAGAAAATACTAAATTGTTTTATTAAAAGTTAAACTCATTTTAAACCTCTGTAATGTTTTGCCCTTTAGTGATAATAACCCAGAGCAGATAAATATTAACAGTGATTTAGACACAGAAGAAGACGTCCAGGTAAACAGTGAAAACTCAATTAGTGTTATTCTGTTCTTAAAATGTTTTATTAATATATACCTCGTCTTTGCTTCTCTCTAGTGGTCAGACGATGAAACAACAACTACAGTTACTGTAAGTAAAACAAAATAAGGAAAGAAATTGAAAGTTTGAACTGCAAAATGCAAAAGGAGCTGTGTTAGTTTACTACAGAGCAAATTCAAATCTATGAGCAACCTTTAGCGTTCTTGAAAAATATGAACTTTGAATAAATAAAATGAATAAACTTGGACAGAGCAGATTTTTGCATATAGGCCAAAGCTTATTTAGTTAGCTTATGTAAAAAGAAATACATATTCTACAGTCTATATGATATATTACAAACTATCATTATAAAATACAAATTAGCCAGTGAAACTTCACTAACCTGCAAAAATAAGTTCATAACTAAAGTCCCTATTGTATCCTATTCAAATCAGCATGCAATCTCTTCTGACAAACCTAAATAAAACATATTATTTAACAAGTTATATGACATTTGCTGCATAATTTAAACAATTTACAATAATGAAGGTAATAACATTAATTTTACATTGTAAATATACCATCAAGTCATGAATACATACATTTAAAAAAGGCTAAAATGGGTTTCTTTGTTTATTATAGGCTCCTGAGTTCCCAGAATTCACCGCTAAAGTGTTGGAGTCAATAAATGCTCTGGGCGGAAGTGTGTTTCCTAAACTTAACTGGAGCTCTCCACGGGTACAAAGATGTTTTTTTCTATGATGTAAAAATGATCTAAATAAAGTAAACTAAACACATTTTATCTGTCATGTTCAGGATGCTAACTGGATTGCCTTGAATAGCTCTCTTCAGTGCAGTAGCCTCAGCGACATTTTTCTTCTGTTTAAAAGTTCAGACTTCATCACCCACGACCTCACTCAACCGTAAGCCCATCTCTGCAATACACCCACACATCAATTCAACTTTCTGATGACAGCCAATATCAAAAATAACCAGGTTTTGGCAGGAGGCACTGATTGGACTTTGCCGTGAAAAAATAACAACAGGCATTTTGCAGACAGCTCTGAGACCTGAATTTATGCTCCAGACTTTGTGCTCAGAATTACAGTCATTTGACCCTCTATGATTTATTGCACCGCACAGCTCTCTGCAAATGTTTATGAGATGGAAAGTAATTTGATTCCACCGCGACTACAGTGCATCTACTTTTACTAGATTTAGTTTAGACATGTTAAGTTTGGATGTGCACTGTGTTCCGTTATGTTTTACAGTGAGTTTCCACCAAACTGTGTACAAGCTCTTTGTTTGTAGTTTTCACATTCTTCCAAATCATACCTATACTTTACATTTTAATTTGTCCAAAAAATATGAACACGATTGAAACTAAATTCATACAAAAAAATAAAAAATATATATATATATATATATATATATATATATACACACACACACACACACACACACACACACACACATATGTATATCGTATAACTGTTAGAAATAAAAGGCTAAACTTTTTATTTATCATTAAACATTAAACATACATTGCTTATATCAGGTGAATCTAAACATCTTAAGCTGCTGCCACTATGAGCCAACCTGATCCACATGTTTTTAGTAATGTGGCCCAAAATGTAATTATAATGCATACACATAGGCCTGTCATGATAACGAACACAAGATATTGCTACAGAGAAATATTACCATAAATGTCCATATTGAAACAACTTTATGCCAGTGTCATAAAGCTGTATGATCCTAGTAAACCAATTTAAATTTAAATATACAGTATCATTTAAAGGCCTGAGCTGAACAAATAAATGGCAGAATGAAGCAATAATTAGTCCCGGCAGTTACTTTTTCATCCATCTACAGCTCAGATCTTTCCGTATTACATAAAAAATAGCAGACACTTTCTCACTATTGTAAAAAAATAAAAAAAAATAAAATACACACACACACAAACACAAACAAAATATTGAACCAACTTTGATATATTGAACAATATGTTGTTGATATAGTAAATATCGTGCCAGGCCTACATACAAGCTATACTCCTATAACATACCGTTTATTCAAACTGAGATTCATAATTATTGTAAGTCATAGATGTTTGTTACCACTTTCGCTGTTGTCTTTATAGTTTTCTCCAGTGCAGCGACGAGGACTCTCCAAATCCTGTCATCAGCTATGAGGTGCCTAAAGTTTTATGAATGGAGCAGATGATTGAGCTGTGTGTTCTGTCCTTACTGATCTGATTTACTGTTGTCCTTAGCTTGTCCTCAGGAAGTGGAGCGAGCTGATTCCTGGAGGAGAGTTTCGCTGCTTTGTCAAAGAGAATAAACTCATTGGTAAGCATTGCACCTGTATTACATTTCAGTTATGATCTGAAGAGTATGTTTTATAATGGCTAGTCATAATGTAATTTTTAGCTTTATTCAAAGAAATATGGTCCTCATTTCAAAAACATGGCTTGGTGGGCTGAGTTCTTTGTAGTTCATGTACAATAGTCCCGTCCTCCAGCTAAATATTCAAAAGGTAAATAATAAAATGTGTTTTCATAGGGTCTAATTTATGACACTCTGAATAAAAGTGAAGTAGGATTTCACTGCTCTTTGCTCATGATGTTAACAATGTTGAAAAATCTTTAAGTTATAATTCCTCTACACAAAATAATATTAACACTCAGATTTGTAACATCCCTTCTATGATGTTATTTGTGACTTATATCTGTTACTTGTTTTTAACAGCCATTTCCCAGCGAGACTACACTCAATTTTACCACCACATCCTAAAGCAGGAGGACCTCATCACTCATGCCATTGAGGACTTCTTCAGGAAAAATATTCAATACAATTTCTTAGACGAGGACTGTGAGTAACTCCAACATTATTAACAACTGTGTATGAGGACTGAATTATTGAGCTTGCCAGAGAACATTATGTGTTGTTTTTTTCAGCTGTAGCTTACATTGCGCAATACATTACTGATAGAGTGTATGTGTCATATACATGCTAAGGACTATTTGCTGTGCTGTGTTACAGTTGTTTTTGACGCCTACAGAGACAGCCAGGTAAGTCCTTTTTCATTAAAATTTTAGTCTTAGTCCTGAAAATCCCAACTGTATGAAAAAAAACAAAGCTTTTACTGCATGTAGGCAAGTGCCACAATTTTGAATTTTGATAGTGGTAAAAACATTCAATTTGGAAAAAGATTTTAGCACTAGACCTTCATCAGGCAAAAAAAAAAAAAAAAGACAAAAAAATTCAATCAAATTTTTTATGTTTTTGGAATTAGTAATTATATGTATGAATAATATTTGTTATTTGCAGGGGCGAGTGTGGCTCATTGACTTTAACCCATTTGGTGAAGTGACCGACTCACTCCTGTTCACCTGGGACGAGCTGTCCTCTGGAGAAATTACACAGCAGCAGGTTTGCAATGTTTAAAATCTTACTAATCAGATGATGTTGAGCTCATGGTATGTGTTTTTATTTATTTATTTTTTATAGTTTAGGAAGTATATTTTTTAGTGCTCTTTTATTTAAAGGTTATATAGAGGATTTTCCAAGGAACGAGAAATCCAGCGACTGTTTGTCCTTTTTCAAATGTTGCGCATGCGTGAAACCACCCCCCCTCCCCTACAGCTCCCTCCTCTTTACGCCAGAAACAGGTTTGTTTACAGCCGGTGCGCTGCACATGACTTGTAAACAACTAACTACAGTGTTGGTTAGGCAAGGCGGAGAAGTGAGGAGCGGGGGGAGCGGGTGTGCGGACATTTCGTTTGCGGACGAGAAGTGAGGAGCAGGGAGAAGAGCGGAGCAGAGCAGGGAGAGGAGAGAGGAGAGGGGAGCGGTGCGCGGAGATTCCGTGCCCGGAGAAGTGAGGAGCAGGGGGAAGAGCGGAACGGGCAGCGGGGACAGGAGCAGGAAAGGGGTGCAGAGAAGGTTGCGCGGAGATTCTGTGCGAATGAACTAGCTACAACACGCAGCAGCAAGCGGACTCTTTCTT